TGCGTGCGTGCGTGCGTGCGTGCGTGCGTGCGTGCGTGCGTGCGTGCGTTGCGTGCGTGCGTGCGTGCGTGCGTGCGTGCGTTGCGTGGGGTGGGTGGCGTGGTGTGTGTGTGTGTGTGTGTGTGCTGTTGTGTGTGTGTGTGTGTGTGGTGTGTGTGTGTGTGTGTGTGTGTGGTGTGTGTGTGTGTGTGTGTGTGTGTGTGTGTGTGTGGGTGCGTGCGTGCGTGCGTGCGTGCGTGCGTGCGTGCGTGCGTGCGTGCGTGCGTGCGTGCGTGCGTGCGTGCGTTCGTGCGTGCGTGCGTGCGTGCGTGCGTGCGTGCGTGCGTGCGTGCGTGCGTGCGTGCGTGCGTGCGTGCGTGCGTGCGTGCGTGCGTGCGTGCGTGCGTGCGTGCGTGCGTGCGTGCGTGCGTGCGTGCGTGCGTGCGTGCGTGCGTGCGTGCGCGTGCGTGCGTGCGTGCGTGCGTGCGTGCGTGCGTGCGTGCGTGCGTGCGTGCGTGCGTGCGTGCGTGCGTGCGTGCGTGCGTGCGTGCGTGCGTGCGTGCGTGCGTGCGTGGGTGTGGGTGGGTGGTGGGTGGGTGGGTGGTGTGGGTGGGTGGGTGGGTGGGTGGGTGGGTGGGTGGGTGGGTGGGTGGGTGGTGGGGGTGGGTGGGTGGGTGGGTGGGTGTGGGTGTGTGTGTGTGTGTGTGTGTGTGTGTGTGTGTGTGTGTGTGTGTGCTTTTTGGTGTGGCTTTCTGGTGCTTACAACAAAGAGCCTTGAATCCAAAGATTATCATTTGCATCAGAATTCTGACATACATCATTGTCAACTTGTCATCATTTGGCAGGTGCAGAATAATCTATTGGTCCATCTTGAAATGGAGATTACCTGTATTAAACTCGAATAAACAAAACAACAACATACAACCCAGAGTGTAATCCGCAGCCACGGCGTGTTGGATTATGTCTGACTTGAACACTAACAATCCACTCTCAGCAGGTGAATATCCTGCCACAAAGTTTTAGACGCACAGGTGTACGCATTCACGTGGTACTCAAAAGTATGTTTATACGTGACAAGATGTATACAGGTATATGGGGATGGGTCAAAACCCCGTGTTGTCGCGGGCCCCCCCCGTGTTACAAACAGCGACGGGCTGTCATCATGGCCTGCAGCCGAAAATGTGCCTGAAGCCGAAATTCGGCGCTCGAAATCCCTGAAGCTTAAATTCGGTCGGCACGCAGCCTGACGCCGAAAATGTGCCTGACGCCGACATTCGGCGCTCGAAATCCCGGAAGCTTAAATTCGGTCGGCACGCAGCCTGACGCCGAAAATGTGCCTGACGCCGACATTCGGCGCTCGAAATCCCGGAGACTTAAATTCGGCCGGCCCGCAGCCTGACGCCGAAATTCGGCGCTCGAAATCCCTGAAGCTCAAATTCGGTCGGCCCGCAGCCTGACGCCGAAAATGTGCCTGACGCCGAAATTCGGCGCTTGAGTCCGCTGAAGCTTAAACTCGGTCGGCCCCGAACCTGAAGCCGAAAATGTGCCCGATGCCGAAATTCGGCGCTCGAATTCGCTGAAGCTGAAATTCGGTCGGCCCCCAACCTGAAGCCGAAAATATCGTGAAGCCGAATTGTCTCCTGACGCGGCATTGGATGGTGACGACGAATTGTGAAGCCGCATTATTATTGGGTGGTGATGCCGAACTGCTGACGCCACATGAGGTGCAGGTGACACCGAATTGCTGACTCACGCTGCATTAAGTGGTGACGCCGGATGGGTGACGCCGCATTAGGTCGCGACATCGAATTCCTGACGCTACATCAATTAAGTGGTGACGCCGAATTGGGCCGTGGACTGATGGGGCAACCCTGATTTTTTCAGGCAGAACTCGTATGGATCCTGAACTCCGAGGGTGGGGCCTTGGACTGTGATGGGGTGCCCCTGAAATAACCAAAAGCAACTCTTATATAGGTCTTGTACTCTGAGAGTAAGGATTTGGACTGACGGCACGCCCCTGATGTTGAAAACAGACCCGTTACCAATCTATCACTCCGAGGGTGGGGCCTTGGGCTGGTGGGTCGCCGGCGGTTCTTAAATCAGAACTCCTATAGATCTTGAACTCCGCGAGGATAAGGCCTTGGACTGATGGCGTGCCCTTGTTTGTTAAATCAGAACTCCTGTGGATCTTGAACTCTGAGGATAGGACCATGGATCGATGGCACGCCCCTGATGTTTAAATCATAACTCTGATAGATCTTGACCTCTGAGAATAAGGCCTTGGACTGATGGAGCCCCGCTGATTCTTAACCAGACCTTTTACAGATCTCGAGGGTGGGGCTCTGGACTGATGGGTCGCCCTAATCTTTAAGGCAGAACCTTTAAAGATCTTGAACTGGGAGTGATGAGCGCCCCTGATTTTTTGAATCAGAACTCTTACAGATCTTGAACTCCGAAGATAAGGCCTTGGACTGATGAGGCGACCTTGGTTTTTTCAAGCAGAATTCGTATGGGTCTTGAACTCCGAGGGTTGGGCCTTGGACTGATGGGGCGCCCTGATTTACTCAAAATCAACCCTTGTATAAGTCTTGTGAGCTCTGAGAATTGGGGCTTGGACTGACGGCACGCCCCTGATGCTAAAATCAGACCCATTTCCAATCTATCACTCCGAGGGTGGGGCCTTGGGCTGGTGGGTCGCCGGCGGTTCTTAAATCAGAACTCCTATAGATCTTGAACTCCGCGAGGATAAGGCCTTGGACTGATGGCGTGCCCTCGTTTGTTAAATCAGAACTCCTGTGGATCTTGAACTCTGAGGATAGGACCATGGATCGATGGCACGCCCCTGATGTTTAAATCATAACTCTGATAGATCTTGACCTCTGAGAATAAGGCCTTGGACTGATGGAGCCCCGCTGATTCTTAACCAGACCTTTTACAGATCTCGAGGGTGGGGCTCTGGACTGATGGGTCGCCCTAATCTTTAAGGCAGAACCTTTAAAGATCTTGAACTGGGAGTGATGAGCGCCCCTGATTTTTTGAATCAGAACTCTTACAGATCTTGAACTCCGAAGATAAGGCCTTGGACTGATGAGGCGACCTTGATTTTTTCAAGCAGAACTCGTATGGATCTTGAACTCCGAGGGTTGGGCCTTGGACTGATGGGGCGCCCCTGATGTTGAAATCAGAACTCGTATAGATCTTGAACTCCGAGGATAGAGCCTTGCACTGATGGTGCACCCCTGATTTTACCAACAGAATTCTGATAGATCTTGACCTCTGAGAATAAGGCCTTGGACTGATGGAGCGCCCCTGATGTTTAATCAGACCTCTTACAGATCTTGAACTGCGAGGGTGGGGCTTTGGACTGATGGGTCGCCCTAATTTTTAACGCAGAACCTTTGAAGATCTTGAACTGCGAGTGATGGGCGCCCCTGATCTTTGAGATCAAAACTCTGACGGATCTTCAACTCCGAAGATACAAGCGGAACTCATATGGATCTTGAACTCCGAGGGTTGGGCCTTGGACTGATGGGGCGCCCCTGATGCTATCAAACGAAACTCGTATATTATAGGTCTTGAAGTCTGAGAAAAAGGCCTTGGACTGATGGCGCGCCCCTGATGTTAAATTCAGAACCCCTACCACTCTTTAACTCCGAGGGTGGGGCCTTGGACTGGTGGGTCGCCCCTGGTTTTTAAATCAAGACTCTTACGGATTTTGATCTCCGACGATAAAGCCTTGCACCGATGGTGCACCCCTGATTTTGCCAACAGAACTCTGATAGATGTTGACCTCTGACAATACGGCCTTGGAGTGATGGAGCGCCCCTGATTCTTAATCAGACCTCCAGGGTGGGGCTTTGGACTGATGGGTCCCTAATTTTTAAGGCAGAACCTTTTTAGATCTTGAACTCCGAGAAACCGCCCTTGAAGTGATAAGGCGCCCCTGATTCATTAAATCAGACGGAGTTCGGCACTGAAGACGATATTCGGCCACGAAGACGAAATTCGGTCCTGAAGACGAAACAAAAGTCAGGGGCGGTCCATCAGTCCAGGACCTTAGTCTCAGTGTACACGACCTACATAAGAGTTCTGGTTTGAGAATCAGGGGTGCGCCATCAATGCAAGGCTCTATCCACGGAGTTCAAGATCTATAAGAGTTCTGATTTAAAAACCAGGGGCGACCCACCAGTCCAAGGCCCCACCCTCGCAGTTCAAGATCTATAGGAGCTCTGATTTTAAAAAACAGGGGCGCTCGATCAGTCCAAGGCCTTATCCTCGGAGTTCAAGATCTATAAGAGTTCTTCGCGGCCGAATTTCGTCTTCAAGGCCGAATTTCCTGTTCGCGGCATAATTTCGTCTTCGGGCCGGATTTCGTCTTCGCGCTCGAATTTCGTCTTCAAGGGCGAATATCGTCTTCAGGGCCGAATTTCGTCTTCAGGACGAATTTCGTCGACAGTTTCGTCTTCGCGGCCGAATTTCTTCTTCAGGGCCGAATTTTGTCTTCGCGGCCGAATTTCGTCTTCAGGGCCGAATTTCGTCTTCAGGGCCGAAATCTCTTATCTTCAGAAAAGTATTCCAGAGCCTTCAGCGCTGAGTAATTCTGTCTTCGGGCCGAATTTCGTCATCAGGACGAATTTCGTCTTCAGGGCCGAATTTCGTCTTCAGCGTGCCCCACACCAAATTTCGTCTTCACCGGAATTTCGTCTTCATGGCGGATTTTCGTCTTCAAATTTCGTCTCAGCTCCTTGCGAACAATTTCGTCTTCAAAAGCTTCGGAATTCAAGCTTCAGGGGGGGACCCACTTTCCCGGGTCAATGCATATATGATAATATGATATACCTTGTCGCGCCAGCCCTGTCGCAGAAACCCGCTTTTGTTACACTAAAACGACCAACCGACAACCAAAAACCAAGGCCCCAGCTGCGAGGCCTTTTCCACACGTGCTCAGCTTCGAGCCACATCCTTCAGCATCCAAGGCTGAAAATGGGACTTCTCACACCAGCCCCCATTGGAGCCTTGGATCAGTCCCTACAAAATATGACCTGCACTTCTTGTGCTTGTCGCCGTGCTTCGAACTCGTGCTCGCGGAGTCTCTGACGTTCACGGCACTGGCGTTTGCGATGGCCAGCTTCTTCACGGAGGCGTTGAGCGGCTGGGTTGTCCTTCAGACTCCAGGGGCCTCCACGCATGATGATATCTCTCATGGGATTCCCCATTTCCTTGGTGAGGCCGTCCGACGGCATCGTCAGCCCAGGAACCCAACGGACCCAACGGTTCGCCATGGGCTCGTACAGCGCCTCCTTCAAGATCGCGATGTCAATGGCGAGGCGCTTGTCCTCGCCATGGCTGATGGAGTTCAGGATGTCGTAGCCTGCATTGGAGTCCAAGACCAGGATCTGCTTCCATCGCCCGGCACTCCATCGCCATTGGTCCAGCTTGAAGCTTGGGTCGAGGATCTCGGCCATAACAGTGCGGATGAAGTCGCACTGTTCCAGCGTCTCGGCTGCCTGGGATATCTCTGCGGCCAAGCTGGATCGAACCACTCGCTTGAGGACGGAACTGTGGTGCAACACGCAATTGACCACAGACTCCCGCTCAAGCACTTCCTCATTGGCCAGCAGGATCATCATGCCGCCCTGCGATCTCCCCTTCGGCATGCTTCCATGCGAAGCGTCGCTCACAGCCAAAAACACCAGCTGGTCTAGATCTCCTGGGACTTGCTGAAAGACGCACTCATAGGAATCTGCGGGTGACCTTGTGGGTTTGGGGGCATTGACGTTCCCACCTTCCACAAAACTTCACCACTTCCTCGGTCGCCAGCTTCCATTCGCCGAAGTGGAACTTTTCCCGGAGGTTGTCGAGGACATACTCACAAGCCCTCGCGTGGATCGCCAAGATGCCTTGGAGCTCGCCGTGGGCGTGTAGAACAAACGTCCCCGGCGATAACTTCAACTCCTTGAGGCCGACTTCCAGGAGGCCTCTTTTCAAACGCAAGTACCAAAGCCTGGGAGACTCCGCCAATCCGAAGCCACCCTTGGCTAGTCGGACGAGGTCGTGACGTAGGCTTCCACTTGCACGTCCTTGAAGCCGGCGAAGGAGGTGGTCGTTGATCTCCGGCGGGTAGCCTTTGGGGAGCTTCACATACACCACTCGCGTGTCATCGAGCTTCTCGCCCTGCAGGAAGGCCGCCGAAATGTCGGCATACTTCATCGTCCACTTCTAGCTGGCCGTAGGGGCCTCAGTAGCGTGCTGGCCAGCCTCTTTGTCACGGTGTCCCGCCAACACCCATCTCGCCTTGAGGAGGGCATCCTGCAGTAGCTCGGCACCTTTATTTGTCAGCACAAATCGCGAGGGGAGGATCTTATCCGGTGGCACAGGCTTTCCCAGCGGAACCGCCTCCAACGCAGCATGGTCAGTGTAGGCGTCGATGGCCTTACGGAGGGGCTCCATGAAGGCCTGCTTCCAGTCCTCACCTAGCTGACTCCATTTGTACTCTAGCCGTGGTTTACCCGTGACCGGCTTGGGCACGGCTTCCGGCGCCTCCGCCTCATCGACGTTCAGGACATCTCGAGGGGGTTCCGCCATCTCCATCATGCCTTCCAGGATCTCGGTCGTGAGGGCGTCCACCGTAACTCCATGAGCTTCCCAGCCTCGCCTTTTCGCTTCTCGAATCATCTCGCGTTGGCTCCGGGTGGCCTCTTCCAAGTTCCACGCGCGGCATGCGTGGAGGACACCATAGCCTCGATGGCTGGCTCCTGCTGAAGGTGGTGCCGGGGAACCGGTTGAGGACGAGGAGGCCGCACCTCCACCATTCGAGGATCCTTCACGTCATACACCTCCAGGTTCCAGCACCGCCTTCATGCGACTCAGGTGTTCCTGAGTTGCCTTGGCGGCTTCATCGAACCGCACTTTCTTTCTGTTGGGTTGTGCTTCGGCAGGAGGTCGAGGAACAGCAACAACATCACGAACAGGGATACCTTCGCCCGCATCATCTTCAGTCGAAGGAGGCGGTGGTGGCCGCTTGTGAAATTGAAGCGGTAGATGGTCCAGAACAGAGCCCGGACCACTGAGTGCCGTACGTGGAAGTTCCGGCTCCACGTCCTGCTCCTCGTCACCGCTGAACTCCAGCAAGGGGTCGGTGGGCTCCTCCACCTGCTCGTCGATCATCTCTTCCACGTCGGGGCGGCCTCCGTCAAGCTCCTTCTCTACTTCTTGAAAAGCCTCTTGACAAACTGTCGTACTTTCGACCTCCTCCAGGGCGGCCAAACGCACATACTCCAAAGGAACACCGCGGAGCTTAGTGCGGCGATATCTGATCCACACCCGCTTGATGGCGCCGCCTCGGCGCTCCACGGCCACCACAACTCCCGGTCCTGTCCATGAGACTTGGTCTTGAAGCCGCTTCGGGAGTCCTTTGCGACTTCCGGGTGGATCGTAGTAGTAGACCAAAGCGCCCTCGTAGAGCATCTCCATGCGGGGGTGCCGGGTGCGTGAGTTCAGAGCCTTCCGAAGCGTCTCATTGCCATCCGCCCATAAGAAGGCCTGCTCGGCAGCTTGTCTGATCTGCTCGTTGCGCCGCCGGGCCTCCGTGAACGTGAGGTCTTGGTTCACGACATAGCGGAAGTGACCTGATTCGAGCTGGGCCAACAAGGAAGACGGGATGGCCACATCTCGTCCCAGCACGATCTGTACCGGGGAGAACCCGGCAACTCGCACTTGCCTGTTCCTGGCAGCTGTCGCCGCCACAAGACACTCCTTGGTCTCGCTGTACCCCCGGGCCGTCACCGCCTTGATCGTCTTCATTGCCAGGAGCTTCAGCGCGGCACCGTGCCTCTCGGCCAATCCCATTCTCCACTTCGCCGCCGGGGGCACCATCTCATGATGCACATCGAAGGCTTGTAGCAAGGCCTCGGTGTGCGACGCGAACTCGCTCCCGGCGTCGGTCATCAGCACCTCTGGCGGTCCAAAAATTCCCAACCAGTAGTCGTTCTTCAAGAAGTGGGCCACGAGGTCAGACTTGGCCGTCGGCATCAAGGACGCCACCTGGTACAAGGAGAAAGCGTCCACCGCATGGATGGCCGCATACTTTGTCTGGTCCGCGTCCCACAAGAAGAACACATCTGCCACCACTCGCTCGTTGAACCTCTGTGGCCGCTCAAAGGCTGCCTTGGGTGCTCGAGCGGGGCTGGCGACCGCCTGACAAATTTGGCACCTTAGCTCTGACACAGCTCCCAGAATGTGATCCTTAGCCCCGCTCAAGTGCAACATGCGCTTCAGCTTCTCGGCCGACACATGGCCCAAACTGACGTGCAAGCGAGCGAGGGTGGACCGCAATTGCCTTGACATGTCGCCGGTGACCTTGCCGAGCTTGTGGCGGAGCATGGCCTCCGGGGAGTTCTCGACTTCCACGGGGATGGTCTCCCAAACCATTTGTGCCGGAGCTTGCTCGTGTAGTTCGAGAGGGGCAATCCCATTCTCCCGGCACGACCTTAGTCGCAGCGCTTCAGACACCGACGCCAAGAGCCTCTTCAACCATCCGTGGGGCCAACATAGAGCTCGTTCGTGACGGGGAAGTTCCAGTCCATCCTCGCCCGTGGCCGTCCCCTCCAAGGATTGATGTTGCCCCGGTTCATGGCGACATTGGGCTTGAGCTTCTAGATTCTAGTTGCGAGCACCACCAGGGGTCGTTCACCGCAATACGGTACGCCTTCTTGTAGGGCTTGTGGGTCTGGGGGTCCTTTATAGGCCAAACATGCACACGTCGATCTTGGCATCATATCGCGGGCCAGGGTCATCGATCATGGGGGCCTTGAGGACGGCCTCCTTGTACATTGGGTGCTCCAACATGAACTGCGTACACAGGCTGCGAAGTTCTTCTCCGTGTGGTGGCGCCACGTTGCCACCCCACTGAAGTAGCACTAGGCCTCCCCGCGCATGTTGATGGTGCCACAGCTCCCAGATCATCTGCCACATTGGCCAGTATTCCGCTTTGGCCTTGGCTATCTCCTTGGAGCTGCCTCGGCTCCAAGTCGACCGGGGCCCTACAGGAGGCGTAATGATCAGGACATCGGGGGCGGTCTGCTGAACCTGGGCACAGATCCACTTAGCTTGCTTCCAGTCGGGAGCAGTCCTCTTGTCCCAGATGGGACCCGGGAATTGCCAGCCATTTTCGGAGCATGCCTCCGTCCAGCGCGCCCTCGTAGGGAACACTTCCAGAATGTTGTAGCCCGGAATTATTCAGGTAGCCAGCAAAGTCAGGAGGCCCAACACATTTCGGCCCTTGGCTGCCCCTTGTCGAAGGCCTTGCTCCAGTCCTCTCGACGGCTTCCGGTGGGAGGCCCTTCGCTCTTCATCTAGTACTCCCGCCGGTATCTCTCGCGAGGCGCTTGGGGCTCGTCGCCCTTCATGTCGTTCGTGAGCTACCTCGCTGCTCCCAGATGGCCCCAGAGAGAGGCCAGTTGCTTGCCGAAGAGACCCATGAGCCACCTCGGGTTGCGCCTTGATTTGGCCTTGTCGCCCATCTCCGCACGCACCGCTGCTCGGATACGTACCATCCACACAAACTCCTTCCACTTGAAGGCGAACAGCTGGCTCTGGATGGAGATCATGGCGTTCACCACGAGGTCGTCCGAGAACTCCGAGAACCGGTGGGAGATTGTCGGTCTCGATCTTGGTCCGGGGTGTCCTCGCTGAAGGCGTCCTAGAAGTGACCTTCGCCGCCGGCTGAGTCACCGCGCGTCGCCCCTTTTGACCACGTGGAGGCACCTCCAGCTCCACTTCCGGCTCCGGCTTCTCCTTTTGTAGTGGTTGGCGCCATCCGTGATCGGCTTGTCCGCATCCTCCTCCATCGGCAGGGGCGCTTTTTCTTGCAGAAGCCCAGCTCCTCCTCCAGGACTGCCACCCGAGCCTTCCAGCACGCCTTCGTTCGTTAATTTCGAACCTTCCGTCACGATAGAGGTCGGATCCATGTGAGGCCAAATCTGCTCCTCGAGCTGACTCGAGCTCCTCCACCTGGGCCTTCAAGCTGGCGATGGTGCTCATCGCGGGGGTGGCGCCTCCGAGGATGTGCTTCCCCTGCGGTCCGATGGGCGAGCTGCGGGGCTTTTCGCTCGCGATGGCGCGCGCTTCCGACGACGTTCGGGAGTCAGAGTAGCCCTTGCCTTCTCCGCCGACAGTGAGCGCTGTCGTCTCGTCCGATCGGCAAAGCTCGACTTGATGATCGGCTTCGGGCGCCGGGCGGCCTCCTTCTTGTCGTCGGTTTGCTCCGCTTCGACTCGGGACCAGTCTGAGAAGCTCCCCTTGAGTGCCTCCGCAAAGTCGCCGTCCGATTCCTCCGAATTCATCCGGTGGTGCTCGGTGGCCTTCGCTGGTCCATCGTCCTTGCGCCGAATCACCATGAGTCAAAGCTGGGCGTGACGAGGAAGACGGGAGGGCATTCATCGAAAAACTTTCCGAATTGCTGGGGGAGCCGGGCGTCCGGAACATGAAAATGGTAGTCGTGTCGCTAACGCACTGCAAAGGTTGTCTCACCTTGGTGTTCTCACCCACAGCCTCATCAAGAATCTTGGCCCCAGTGTTGGTATCATACACAGTTCGATGCACAACTTGTTTCCACGGAGGTCCTCGGTTCCCAGGGCCCACGGTGTTCGCCACCCCTCGGTCATGACGGGCCCACGATCTCAGGGTGTAGCTCGAGGGGTTAGCTGGCGCAGGCCCGGGTGGCATCACAGTAGGCTTAGCTTCACTCCTGCCATACACCGGGATCGCCTCAACGTACTCCGGGAGATTAGGCTCGTGCATCGGGGGCATATCTGTAGTGAACTCAGCAATGGGGAGAGCATAGTGACCACCATAAGTCTGTGTAAGACCGTACTTGGACACCTTAAGCTTGCGCGATGAAACAGTATGGTTCTCGGTAGAATCTATGATCAATCCCAGCTGAGTGCACGCAGGCTTGGAAAGCAGAGGAGGACAATCGCCGGGAACCACACTGATGCGAAGCAACACCCGCACTCCCATGATGGTCGCTTCAAAGATGAAGGCAAACTCACTACAAAGTTCATGGCCGCCCCCAAAACGAAAACTCTCTCTCTCTCCTTGACCGCCTTCATCCAGCGGCCCAATCCACGAAGCCTCTGAATGTGCTGATTGGTCCACTTAGTCCCTGCCACCGACTTCATGCATCCAATGTCAACGATCAGACTGCTATGGAGTTCCCGCATGGCCCAGAAAGGTTCATGATCTACAACCGTGGACTGGTAGGTGCAGAGGGGCCTCGAAACCACGTGGCATCCAAAAGTCCTAGAACTGCCCGAAACCCCGACATCCTGCATGTATGCGGTCATGGACTCGAGCAGATCCCACTGTCGGCGGTCATCGCTGAAACTCCCGGCCACCGCATTGACCGAGTGCGGTTGCTTGCCCGAGCTTCGGGACTTAGTGGGGCACTCTTGGCTCCAGTGCCCTAAACGTCCACAAAGAAAACACGGTTCCTTCTTCTGCTGTTCTTTGACCCAGGCCTTGGTCTTTTCGGGATTCGTGCCCTTCTGAAAGAACTGCCTCATCTGACGAATTTCATTAACCCTCTTCTTGGCCTTGTACTCCTGGGCATAGACCTCGGCCGGCATCCCAGAGGATTCAAAGGAAACTTCATCATCGCGCTCCGGCTGGTCGCCACCGCTTTCAGCATGGCCTTCGTCATCTGCAGAAGAAGGGGAGGACGGCTGGCTCGAACCGTCATCATCATCATCGTCCTCCAAAGTTGCATGAAAAACTTGCTTCCACTTCCGCGGCACGCGGTAGCCGCACCGGAACTTGCCATCTCGGCCACGATCACCTCGAGAGGAAGTCCTTGGTCGGCTCGGCTCCTCTTTCTCCTTGTCGCGGCTCTTTTGCACCAGGTACTCGTCCTCATCATGCATGTTGGGCTCGCCCCGTCCTATCGGGTACCCGCTCATACCCTCCAGTTGCTCGGATAGCTCCAACATGGCATTTACCACCTTGTTCTCGTCGTGCAATCCACCCGCCGCCGTCTTCACCAATGCCTCGTCCTTGCTTGTCAGCTTCGCCGCATCCAAAAGGTGGCCCAGGTAAAACTTCGAGCCGACTCGGTAGTTCTGGCACTGGTCATTCTCGTGGCGGTAGATCGACGCGCGGTTGATGAAGGACTCCAGGGACTCTCGAGGGTACCTCGAAAGCCGCATGAACTTCTTGCGCTTCTTATCCACCTCCTTGTGCTCCAAGAGGCGGATAATGGGCGACTTCTCCATCTCGGCCTTGATCCGCTGGACACCTGTGTCAGATGCCACATCCTCCACGGTCAGGTGCGCCACGATCTTCGCCGCACGCTCTTTCATGGACTGCATAAGCCTGGCCCCGCGAACTGAAGCTGGCAAGTTCGCTCCCTCGGACGCCTACCAGAACTCAACTGACCGCCAGTAGTCTTTCCATGACTCTCCGGGCTTCGACTTGAACTCTGGAGGAAAAGAGCTATGCAAACGAAGATAGCCGCCACTGCCACCTGTGTCCCCGGCTCTACTCGCCGTAGCCATAGAAGACCCACGACCATGACCATCAAGACCCTCAGAACGGTGCCGTACTGGCTCCGCTCCACGATGTTCTTGCGGCTGATCGCCAGGACGAAGGTGCAGATCTGGTCGTACTGCTCCTGCTCCACGAGGTTCTTGCGGCTGATCGGGTAATCGGGAAAGAAGAGAAGGCGCTGCCACCTGCAGCGGCTGAGCATCCTGCCGGGGTAGAAGTCTGTTCGGAGTGGGGGGGTCCTTCGGGACCGGGCTGTTCTCGCGTCTCGACAACGAGCTTGGCAACGGGACGGCAGATCCCGGAGGCGTGGACACAGGAAGACCATCGTCATCTTCCTCCGCCCACCAGTTCTCATAGCGCTGTTCACGGCGCCATTGTGGTCGGCGCCGATCCAAGTAGTCGGACCAGGGGTCCACGTCCCAGTTTGATCCTGAGGAGTCCCAGGACCAAGCGCTCCATGAGTCATCATCCCAGTTGGCTTGTCGCCTGTCATCTTGCCAGTTGCGGAAACTGGCACGAGAATCCACCACAGGCCTCCCTCGAGGAGGCGCACTCAATGACCCATTCATTGAAGGCGTCCAGTCGCGCCCTCCTCCAGCGCCCATCACTGTTTCTGCAGAGTCCGGGGTTCATCAGCACCATGCGCTGGGGGTGGCGTGAGCTGGGAGGCCTCGCCCCACTGCACGCTCGAAGCTGCACGTGCGCCACTGTCCATGGCCAAGGATGGAAACTATACTAACCTCACGACCGACGCCCCTACCCTAAACCAAACCACTAGGCCCCCACCTTATCGGGGCTCCGCTACCACTAAAACGACCAACCGACAACCAAAAACCAAGGCCCCAGCCGCGAGGCCTTTTCCACACGTGCTCAGCTTCGAGCCACATCCTTCGGCATCCAAGGCTGAAAATGGGACTTCTCACAGTTACACACTTTGTCGCGCGAGGGGCGCCTCGGGCCTGTTACATACCAGAAGTTTTTGACTCACTGCCATATAAATATCCTGCCAAGACGTTTTAACACGCACAGGTGTACGGTGTACGTATTCACGTGGTACTGACTGGTACTAGTAACTGGTATGTTTATATACTTGACAAATTTATAAACACAGGACTCAGCAAGTACTGCAGTTACTTTATAATGCTTGCTTGTTGTTGAACTGTTCAACGAAACCTACCCGAACCATAGTGAGTTACGAGCTGCTACTGTTGTCGCTGTTGACTGCTGGTTTGACAGATACGCACGAGCCCATCAACCACCTCTTCAGTCGGGCGGATGTTTCTTCAGATGCAAGTGGTGGCCGGCTCCGAGGTGCCGAGAGCTTTGCATCCGCAGCTTCGTCAGTCTCGAGGTTTTTGGTTGGTTGAGATGTTGAGATGTCTCCTTCGATGAAAAGACAACGTGCTTCGTTGTGCTGGACGTGTGAACACGACGACGCTCACTAGGCTCAATAGAAGAAACGTTCGGGTTCGTCTGCCGCTTGAACCGGTGCCACGACAAGAACTCGCCACAGCAATATACTATAAGTTTGGACTCAGGAATGCAATCAGCCAGTACTGTACATCCGCCTGTTATGGAGGAGCCGTTATTGCAGGTCACAAGTCTGTTGGCTATAGGAACACCGAGATCGTCACGCGCATGCTGCCTCATGAGAATGTGTTCTGGTCCCATTGTCATCATCCGTAATAGCCACGGCCCCTTCTACAAACAGGTTGTGCCATTAGCCTTCTTTGGCAATGGCGTGAGCAGAAACTCCAAAGAACTTCTTAAATGATGGACTCGTCAGTCTGGCACAATGTCCTTGAAGCAGAAATGCTGTTGGACGGAGTTCGGGGGCTGCCGCATGTCAGTTTTCAAAAACAAAGACAAGCAGGCTTTTGGGACGGGCGTCCATACCACTGCATACAGCAAAGGCTGCCAATGGCAGGTAGTGCACCGCCGCCAGCTCTGCAATGGGCCTGCGACACCAGTATCTTGAGAGCCCTCACTCGCCTCCCTTCTGTGCCATGCTATCACCGTGGATCCTACCAGTATATAGTTTTTCAACCGCAGCATGCAATGAGTGGCAGTGCTGGTGCTCACAACAATAGCTGTAGTAGAACGAGCAGCATGAAGAGAGACATGCACAGTCGTTGCTACGAAATGCTCGTTGGCACTACAAGTAACATATGGCGTCACCATATGCCTCTTCAGGAGCCTGGCCTCTTCCCGACCTTCCGCCAGGTCCAAAAGCTCCATCTCGAGCGGCCTCACAGCCACCACTTCCACCGGCTTAGCCGGGGCCTTCGTCAGGAGGGAAGTGCAAGCCAGTCGGCTTCTTGCAAGGTGGCTGAGCCCAGCCTCCGGCCGCAGCTTGGCAATGCAACGTGCCAGGGCCTGACGCCAAGCCAAGCCCAAACAAGCCCCCAACTGGGAGTTCCTTGCCTCTGGCCACTCATCGCCGAATCGCCGCATCGCTTCTGTGGTCACTGGCAGCCTCGCAACTCTTAAAAATCAAGCACTTTTCAATACGGTATCATGCTGCCCAATCCCGTGGTACCAAATTCAAAGCCAGTTTCAGAGAAGACCTATACCGGGTTAGTATACCGGGTTCAGTATACTCAAGCAGGGCATCATGACCCTTCCGTGTGGTTTCTCAGATGTGGCTGATGTTCTACAGTATCGACCAAACCTCGCGAAGTGCAGTAGTCTGGCAATGCCACCACGAGGTGTTGGTGCAAGTCGCATGGCCTGAAGTCGTCGTACGCGGTTCGTCGTGACAGTGGACCCCATAGACCATCCAAAGGTTTATCATCTTTCCAGTCATTCAAAAACATGTCCGAAGGCCCGACTTGACCGGCGTCGGATGCCCTTCCGCCCACTATGTGCCAATACAGCAGCGTTGCAACCCATGATTGTCCTAAGTCCACGGACCCCGCCAATCCACAACATCTTGCGAACATAAGTAGATTGACCTGGAAGCAACAACAACACTAAGCAAGGTGACAATTGTACTAATGTTTCTCGTGTACCAGAGCACTTGCACACACGCACACGCGCATGCTAGGTGGAGTGGTGTCGGGTTTGGTGGTGGGAGGTTGGTTGGTGCCAGCTAGTGCAGCTTGCACTGGATACTCTGGGTGCACATGATATCGCATAAAATCTGAAGCAATGAGGTCTGGTATGTCGTCTTCTACTTCTGCCTCGGCGGGATGTAGTACTGTGTGTTCGTCCAAAAGACCGGCTGCGACAAGAACGTCGCCGTCTGTCTCGAGATCTTGGTTGGTATTGGGCCTGTACCTGTTGCAATCGAACATACGGTCAGGGCGGTCTCGGCCACACGAAGGGATAGCATAAATCGAACAATACTGGCGAGCTTGGAACATCTGAGCTAGGCATCAAGAAACATGACACTGGCCAAACGCGCTTGCTGCAACGAGGGCAGCATTGGCTGTTCGAGGGCCGCGCTCTTGGCCATCTTCTCGTTGTTGCTGAACGAAGTGAAATTAATAACTAGCAGCTAGTCATGGCAAAGGATCGCAAGTGCGTCCCTTGGTCATACCACAACAAATCTGGGCTCTGTGTTAGGCAGCGCAATCCAGAAATGCTCGCTGCCACGTGCTATGGTGAAACATTCAAGCTGTTACTTCCTACATCCTTTGGTACAAAGGGACGCACACACACAGACACACACGCACATGCACACACACACACACAAACAAACACAAACAAACACACACACACACACACACACACACACACACACACACACACACACACACACACACACACACACACACACACACACACACACACACACACACACACACACACCAACCACACACACACAAGCACACACGCACGCGCACGCGCACGCGCACACACGCCACACGCACACACGCACACACGCACACACGCACACACACACACACACACACACACACACACACACACACACACACACACACACACACACACACACACACACACACCAACCTACCTACCTCCCACGCAACGTTCGCCTAACTCGCGGCCAGGTTCGCCTGCTTCCGCTCTGCAGCACACGCCTCGGGAAAGGACGAGGAATCGGGGTCTTGTAAGACTTCTGGATTGTAGGGGTCGATGGCTAACACGCAATCTGAGGGTTCGATAGCGCATGCAACACTCTCTTTCCTTTGGGCTCTCCAGGCAAAGGCACAAGATCCCCCAGCCACACACCACAACATTTCGGCGATCCTCAGACTTCTTCACTTGAAGTAAGTATCCCCAAAGATCTGCACTTCTCACTTTCTTTCAGCCACCCCCTGGGCCCCTGCCCTTCCCCTGCCCCAAGCAGCCCAGGCATCCTCCGGAGTCTCGAGGCCACGAGATCCGTGGGCCCTGCGGAGGCCGAAAAGGTGGCCACTGGCACTGGCAGAGGGCTCCCGTCGAGCTCCTGCCACGTGCGACAGTGTCCCTGTGGAAGAAGATTGCAACAGCAGTCAGCATGAGAACGCCGATGTTCGAAAGCGAGGCTCCAGTACTTCGTATTGCACGTTGTTCGGAAATGTTCGGAATCTACACGGGGGAGCAGTACTAACTCCCTTCAGGACGAAGACTAGGCCTAGGCAGGAAGCAAGTTACAAGGGAGAGGAGCAGAGGAGCCGAAGCAGCTGAAAGGAGTAAACCCGCAAACCCAAACAAGTTCGTCTTTGTCTTCTGGCCTGGTCCGCCACTTCTGGCACGGCTGCAGCAGAGGTTCCTGTGAGACGTCAAAAGCAGCTCCCGACTAAAATCGCATCTGGAAGCCTTCCACCACAGGCTCGGGCTCGAAGTGCTCGAACTTCTGCGCCTCGGCGTGGCCAAGTGCAAGCCGTGCAAGGCTTGAAGGCAGGAACGCTCCTTTGCCTCCGTGAAGACCTGAGGTTTCTCCAGTGGCCGCCGGAACGTGATGCGGCCTTCACTTGCCAAGTCAAGGTCACCGCATCTTGTGCAGGACTCATCGCAGCTTTGGGCCTTGTGGCTTCCTGACTCCAGGGCAGTGGCGGCAGTGGCGGCAGTGGTGTGGCAAAAGCAGAGGCTCCCCCACCTCTTTGCGGAGCAGAGCATCCCGATTGAAGTGCCGAGCAGAAAGCAAGCCCTTTGGCCGAGCTTCCACGGGAATCAAAGCACCACCGGCCAGCAAGCCAGCACGGTCGCCAGCACGGTCGCCAGCACGGCGTCGTGTGCCGGGGAGGCAAACGGCTTCCCATCGAGGCATGGCGGGCGGCGAGGTGATGGCAACGCCGTTGGCGCCGTTCTATTCTGCGCAACGACGACTTTGGAGAAAGGATGGTAGACTGTAGACTACTGTAGACGTTGGCAGCTGAGTGCAAGAGCGTCATACGAAGGTTCTTCTTGAACCTAAGCAGCGACCGGATTCGGCTGTGCAATGGTCCACGGTCCTCTTGCTGGCAAAGGCGTGCCAGACTCGGACAGGCCCAGTCTGCTCTGATCGAAAAATTGCCATCTCTGCTCAGGGCATCCTTGGCGCAGGATCACTCGAAGAGCACCTGCACTGTGGGCATCGCTCGCATCGCATCAAGACTGATATCTCTCGATTCGCCTTGGGGTTCAAGGGCGTGCCGGCGAAGACAAACCTGCAGCCGATGCACTTTGCCGCGACCTTCGCCTGAGCCTTGCGCTGCTGCGCTGAGCTCCCGGGCTCCTCGAGGAGGATACCCCTCTTCTTGGACACGTCGCCGACAGCAATCTGTGCAGAGTCAAATTTTCGGGGCCCCAAGAAACTGACTGCACTTCAGCCTTCGCGTAGCCCTCCTCACCCCAGTCCTGTCATCACAAGGAGAGGTTTGGCGCTCTGGCGTGCCCTTCCGTGCTCCACGCGCTTTCCTGCCTGGCCCCAAGCATTCTCGATAATCCAGTACTCGACCGAAGCCTCGGTGACGCCCCAACCTGCCAAGAAGGAAAGCCAGGAAGGCAAGAAGGTTCTGAACGCTGCGAGATTCTAAGATGCTGCAAGGTGGGCATGAAGGAACACGGACACGATGGACATGGACCGTTACGGCCTAGGACCGTGACAGCCTGGAGTTGGCGCTGGCGATCTCGATCCTCGGTCTCTAAAGGCCCGCTGAGCATCTGGCCGACTCCATGAGAGTCGGGATCAGGCCACGAGTGGAGAGGCCGTCCGCGTCTCCTCATTCTTACACTTCTGACCTCTGAGCTCGCGGGAAGTTGCGCGAATTCTTGCGCCTGGTAGATGCCGGACCTGACGGCCAAGGCGTATCATACAATCATACGGCTATAGACTATGTGAGCGCAGCTCTTTTTTGAGCGCCGAAGAGCTGGAGTCGCGGCCCGGTCATAGATCCTAACAGGCGCTTAAGCGGTGCTTTGCCGAAGGTGGCGGCGCCGGATCCTGTGACAGGAGCCAGTTTTACAAGGTGAGCGCATGCCAGCACTTGCCTGAAGGCCACGCGGCCAGAGAATCCTACCGCCTGGCTGCAGGCCTCGCACAAGCCAGTGCATGTCTCGACTACTCGGGGCAAAATTCTTTCTGCCTCGGTCTTCTGCACCAGAATGTTGAAGCAAGGCTCCGGAGATTGCCCTGCCAAGCCCTCTTTCTGCTTTCGGATCTTTTTGGCTCCTTGGAGGCCTGCGAAGACCGCCGCCGACACGACATTCGCGGCGACCTTGGAAGGACCGAAGGCCGTGTGGCTGCCAAGAGGAGGGCCCCGCCACCTGCAGGGCCCCCGCCCATTGGCCACGGTAGCCTTCGGACAAAATCACCACCTGCCGTCGTGCCGCACAAAGGATCCGAGCGCCTGCAGGACCTCGAGGAGCCTCGACCCCCTGTCCCAGCTGCCAAGGCTCTGAGCCAAGGCTCGGCGGGTCACCGCTTTGGGAGCCCAGGCCCAGGCCCTCGGCGCAGCGGAACCAGTCCTCCGCGCTCAGGAATCCCCCTCCCTCGACTCTTCGGAAACTGGCCGAGCCCGGGTTCCACCACACACCGGCCGGAGAAGTGCAGGGACGCCAGCGCTTCCACCTCGTCTGGCGTCTGGTGACTCTGATGTGAAGAGGCTCCCCTCGCATTCGCTGCGTTGCCCACAGCGTCGTCTTCAAGCTGCCAGCAGCCGTCCAGAAAGAGACCTCGAAGACCTTGATAAACATGAAGGACACACAGAGCGCAATGCGGCGCAGTGAACCCGAGTCGCCTTCCAGTTGGGACAGCTTGGGGCCTCCGAGCCACGTCTCTCTGCAGACTTCAACCCACTGAGGCTCCAGGTTCCCGGCGGCGCAGGGCCTCGGAGCGGCGAAGGTCCAGCTCCTGCGAGCCACAACCCTGAAACCCAAGCTCCCCGTGCCCGCCGTGCCCGCCGTGCCACTGAGGGAGCAGCGAGCGTCAGTCAGAGCCCGTTTGTCGGTGCACGAGAGCGCATGCATCCAGTTAAGAATTAGGGGCCTTCGTCGGCAGCTGCATCCCAACTACTCTTCTGTAGAGGACTTAGCGCCTCAGAAATTGACAAGTAAAGTCTCGCCATGGACAATCGCCGTCAGCAGGCTGACATCCAGAATCCATCAAGCACCCGATCTCTCCTACGAGTACGAGTCATCCAACTATCTGCATACGATGCATAAGTGCGACTGGAGAAGTCCAGAGACTCACTGGCTTGCCAGATAAATCCGGATCTTTCCCACTCCGCCACAGCACAGGGACTGTCCGGATGTTCAGAAACGCCATGCCGAGACTCTTCAGCACAAGCAGCAGCACGAGTCTGCTGACTTACAGTTCGGCACCTCTTGGCGGCTAGCAAAGGTTGCCGAAAGGAAATTCGGAATCTAGAGAAAACTTAACTCAAAAAAGCAAGAGACTTCGGCATCTCGCAGGCGTTTCACGCGCGCGCAGTGCCTTGACATGACGCCCAAGTAGAGCGTCGACAGTGAAAGGTCTGTCAGCTTTGCGAGACCGTTCCCTGAACTGCCATGGCTCCGGCCTAGCAGCAAACAGCCATCCGTTGATCAAGCGGCACAATGCGGTCACCATGCGGCCGTGGTGGCATGCAATGGTCTCCACAAGCACTGTGCCGTGCTGAAGGCTAAGGAGCCTGGCTATCTCAGGTCAGGTACCGAGGAGCTCCTCCTCAAAGTGGTCTCGCCTTTCGGGCAGCCGAATTCCAGGAAGGTATTCTTGATCCGGACATGCTCCGGCTCTGTGACTTGGGGACTCCAGTCCAGGGACGCCAGGGAGGCCGCGAGGGAGTCGGGGGACCAGTCAGCGTCTCCAGATCCCGAGGCCGAAGGTGTGCAAGTCTCATCAGAGCTCAGCTCTTCCAGGTCCTCCGCCTCTTTCTCCTCCTTCTCCTTCTTGATGGGGCCCGCCGGGCTCGGGGCATCTGAGTACTCCTCCGCCTCGGCCGCTTCACTCCAGTCCCGAATCCTCATCGAGAAGTCCAGAGCGAAGCCTTCGAAGCTCTCTGGGTGTTGGGTCTGAGAGCTCTGAGTACTCTGCTTACTTGGCTCCCTCTCCATCTGGAGCTCCTGAGGAAACCAACGCTTCAGCGGAGCCTCCTGGGAAGGGACCTGGTTCATGATGGGGTCTCGAAGCTCCTCCGTCCCGTGGGCGTACTTGCACCTTGACTGTAGCACTAAGCTCTGAAGAGGACCAGGACCCGTGAGAGTTATTGGCTTTCTGCCAAGTCGCTGGTCCCCGTTCTTGCAGAAACCTTTCCGGGTGAACTTCGAGCACCTCTCAGAGCTCAGACGGAGGCTTTCGCTTCCAGCGGATTCTAGCGACTGAGACGTGCGCAGGCTGGTCTTGTACAGGTCCGGCTGGCTTTGAAGCTGGTCCTCACAGAGAGAGCAGACGACTCAAAGGCTCTTAGAGGGACACTTTCAGAGGAGGCGCTCCCTTCCCCCCGTTTTGAACCTCGGAGTGTGCGAAGGTGCAGCTGTAACCTTTGGTACACCTGCCCGTCTGGTAGAACTTGCCTCAGGCGGCCAGGGAGTCCATGTCTCTCTCATGCCAGTTCACCTTAAACCCCTAAGACCCTAAGAGCCTGCTGTGCCAACAAGATGCACATGGTAGTCCGGTGCACGAAATCCATGAGGTTGGCCTTTGGCTTCTGAATGCCTCTGGGCTTCTGCCACATGTAGGCCATGGCTTTCGGAGGGCTCCACAAAGCAAATCACTGTCAAGCACGTTTTGTGCCAAAATGCTTCGGCCCAGCATCTTTGAGGACAGCTGATGCAAGCACAAATCCGAAGAGTTGGCGGCGGCTTCGAAAGCACTGCCACCAGAAGCGCCAACGCGTCCTGCAACGCGGGGCACAACCTCAGGAGTTCCTGCAGCATGCTGTCGTCGAAATGGCTGCTCGAGACCACCTGAAACAAGTCAGCGGATGAGATGTGCAAAGACACCGCCGCGACGTGCCGCGACTCGTTGGCTTGGCTTGGGGCTCTTAAGCCGCGAATGCTGCGACAGGGGCGGCTGATGGCCGCCAAGGACGCTGTGGAAAAGGCAGCCTTCGCTGACCAACTTCGGCTTCCCTGATTCGGTCCGAGTCCCAACCTTGGCTACGAGCCGGACGTGCAGAGCCTCGAAACGAAGCTGCGAAGCTGCGAAGCTGCTCTCCTCTCCTCAAGCCCAAGCGCTGGGGCGAAAGGCAAGCGGCTGGGACCTCCCGGATCGGGCCTTGGCCTGAAGATACTTGGGCAAAGGAAAACAACAACGCCCCCCAAACATCTGCGGCTGCAGGGGGGGCGTTGGGGGGGCGCGCCTCCTGGAGGCGGCGGAAGGTCTCCGCATCTTCTAGAGCCACACCTCACACCGCGGCTCTGCGGCTCTGAAGATCAGCTGAGCTTGGTCTCAAGTCTTGGATCGCGCTTCGGGGCCGCGGCTCAAACGATCAAGACTGGGATATCTCGCTTCGCTAAGAAGGCCGAGGGCCTCAAGGCTCCGGTGCTCATCTTTCTCCGGCCACTGCGCCCGAAAGCAAAGGGCTATCACCGCCATCCTGCCAACGTCATCGTCATCACTCATTCTGGAATGCCTTTGCCACTTCCACCGGCATCAGGAGAAAGCAACACATCCTGATCTCCTCTGGTATCCGCTTCGCGACGATCGCTATTGCATTGTGGCAAGGGTGTGTTGCAAAGCGGTGGTATCGCTGGGGCTGGGGTGTTGCCGAGCTCCAGGCACTCCACAAGTCGGTCCCAGACCCCTGCAGACGATACTATCGGCGCTGAGAGCTGTGCTGGAGTTCTACCCTTTTCTTGAAAGGCCGGAGTAGGATCACAAAAACGGCCCCCACTGAGCCAAGGGCTAAGGTGACAATCTTAAAAATCTCAGGATCCCGAACATGGCTTGACGCCAGTTCTGGGGTAGATGCCGTGCGCCTGCGCCAAGCCCGTCTAGATGGAAGATCCCTAACTTCTCGTCTTCCAGAGCACCTTCAAAAATCGGTCCATATTATATGAGGCTCCTGCAGTACCACTTGAGACACAAAAGCTTATCTTATGCTCGTCTTTATACACTCGCCTGCGCCGTATAGGCCAAAAGACCCGAGGCAAATTTGAGGACTTCCCAGTACACCTGGGCAGCCCACGAAGTGGGTCCCTAAGATAATGCCGGACCCACTCCGAAGCAAAGCAATGCTCAGAAAGATTGGAAAAAACAACTTTGAACAGTCTCTCTTGATCAAGGCGTTTGCCTTGTCCAAGACTCATCGCACTCGCGCTCAAGCTAGCAACCCTTGTGGCAGCGAGCTGCTTAATCGCTCAAGTGCAGCGAACACTTCAGAAATGATTATTGCTGGCCCTTCCTCAAACGCGGCCTCCGTACGGCCTCAAAGGGCTTTTGAAGCCTCTCAGTGACGGCGGCCCTGACTCTGGACCAAGCTAGCCATCTCCCTCTTGGCCTCGGAAAGTCAGCCGTTGAGCCCAAGAAATAAGAGCTGAGCAGCTGAGGGGTTCTTACAGCTCTTTCTCTAGCGCCTGGAGCTTCTGCTTCAGCATGGATCGCTGCTTCTCCTGAGAGCTTTTGAAAGCAACGCGCAAGACACCCAGACCCAGTACGTGTCCGCCTGTCGGCTCTTGGAGATCTTCTTCTGCAGCTCTTCCGGGAAGGCAGCGCCCATGAACGGGTCCTCTTGGGAATCCGACTTGGGAAGCCAGCTGCTTCGTGACACCGCGAAGATGCTTCTGCAGCAAAGCGACCACCACGCCAGGGCTGCTTCGTGCAGCCATCTTCTTCTGCAGCTCATTCTTCAT